GGAGCACCCCACCCAGCCGACGACGCTACCTTCTCCTACGGATGTCAACCCAAGTACAGATTTCGACGCGGGCAGCACCCTCCTCCCCGAGGTCGTACGCCAATAAGAGGGAGTGGGAGGCGGCTGGGGTCTCTGAAAATGATACAAAATTATGGACACAAGAAGAGAAAATAAGCAGACACACTTGGGGAAATCTGCTATTAAATTAGTTCCTGTAACTATTGGCCGGCAAAATTAAAGGGATTTTAATTGGGACTCTATTTCCGATGACTGGCTCCGAGGAACTCCAAGGCTCACGTGATTGGACAAGACGAAGCGGTCAATCAAGTCGGGCAAGCAATTCGTCGTGCCCAAGCCGGTGCCAGAAACGCGAACCGACGCCTCGCAAGCTTCCTCTTCGACGACGTCGGGAAAACAAAGCTCGCCCAAGCCATAGCCATTGAAATCTACAGATCCAAACAGTCCCTAGTTTGTGTCGACATGGGCGGGATAATGGTGGAGAAACAATTTCTCTCCCTTTATACCGATTCAATTCATCGGAAACACCGCAAAGTCATCCTGTTTCCGAAATCAAGAAAGCCCCTCCTGCCATCGCCAAGTCCCTTCTTGGGTCCATGCTCTTGTATCGTTTTCAGAGACTCCAGCCGCCTCCCACTCTCTCTTATTGGCATACGACCTCGGGGAGGAGGGTGCCGCCGGTGCCGGAATCAGTACTTGGGGTGACATCCGTCTGAGAAGGTAGCGTCGTCGGCTCGGGTGGGGTGCTCCGAAGAAATTAGATGTTATTGGGGATAAGAAGAAATTAGTTTTTTTAATAACTGTGTAAATGAGTTGGAATTTAAAAAATGTTAAATTTTATTATTTTATTATTTAAATTGCCACATCACACATTTAACGGTCAACTATAAGAGTTGATTGTCACGTCAAATAAAGTTAACGGAGTTGAACGGAGAGTGACCAAACTTGAAACATTTAACTAATTGTAGTAACCACGAATAGAATTAAATATTTTCAGTGACTAAATATGAACGTTTTTAGTAATCACAATTACCAACATTGCAATTTACCTCTTATTTATAATTACTATTGTTAAGAATCAAGAGGGGCTATTCCGCACTTGCCTATTTTTGTATATATAATCCATGAACATTACAACATACAACGTTTGAGAACGAGATCAAACCTGGTAGTGAACGATCTTTCTTGCGCTCGATCACCTCCAATTTTCAACAAGAGGCAGCCCAGAATTTATTTGATCTCACCTATTATTAGAATTGTATCGCAATTTTTGGAATCTCCATATCGACATGACGTTGAGTGAATTAGAATGTTGAATGTATATATGTATATAATGTGATGCAATTTGTCAAAGTAGGCCTACGCATGTATTCTAAAAATTATTTTGTCCACATGCATGCCACCGTTTGAGTAGGGCTGCAATTAAGCCGAGTCGAGTCGAGTTTTATCCTATCTTGAGTTCGGCTCGTTAATAAACGAGTCGAGCTCGAGCTCAGTTTGTTTATTAACGAGTCGAGTTGAGCTCGAGCTAGTTTGTTTATCAAAATCTTAACTTTTATTTGGTACTTCATTTTGTATAGGGCTAATACCACTGGGAAACCCGAACTATTAACTTTGTGTCATTTGTGTCCTAAAGTATTCGATATGACATTTGTGTCACAATGTATGATAGTTGTGTGTCATTTATGTCCTCACGATTTCGTTGACCGTTATAGATAACGGTTGACCAAACGGAAGTCAACATTAACATTGACTTTTGTTGACGTGGCAGCCACATAGATGCCACGTCAATGACACCTCATATTTTTAATTAAAAATAAAAAAATAAAAATAAAAAAATAAAAAATAATAGAGAGTATTATAAAAAATAAAAAATAAATCCTCATAAGCTTTCCTCTTCTTCTTCTAATCAAATTCCGCCGAGGAAAAAGGAAACGGCGGCGGCATTCTCGTCTTCCTCTCCGCCATTCTCACCGCCGCCCTCGCCTCCTCTTTCCCTTCCATACAAGTCGCCAGGCTTTCGCCAAAATCGGTGAGATGGGAGGCGTCGATTCCTTCATCATTCATCTGCATCTTCTTCTCCGGGAACCCAAAACCCTTTCATTTGGGGTCCATCCTCTGCCGTCCCTTTCCTCCGCTTCTCTTCCCACCGACCTTAATCATCTCTTCCCAGAATCGATTCTAGAAAAAAAAATCTCTTGATTCAAGATTTATCGAGCTAGAAACAGTCCAACCCTCTCTTCATTCAAGATTTATCGAGCTTGAAACAGTCCAACCCATTCTGCGGGCTACTATTTCGCTGGCGGCATCAGAATCGATCTCCCAGATCTTATCATTGTCGACAGCGTTCGTCGTTTGTCTCGGCAAATTAATCGAGAACTTCTCTCAAACGCGAATTTGGGTAGGCACTCACGGTGAGAGCTGGGTTCACTCGTCTCCATCCTCATTGAAGCATTTCATCAATAATCGGAGCCACGCCGCCGGAAAGGCTTGCTGTGGGTAGCAATCTCAGAGCTCACCCTACGAACTCAGCAGCAGGTGGATGGTCGACTGGCGTGGTTTGAGGGAAGGCGTCTGCTCTTGAGTGAATTCGCCTGTAGCAAGTAGACGATCGGCTACTTCTTCCAGTGAATCGACATTGAAGCACAAGCTTATGCTCTGATTTCCCCTATCTAATTCTCTCTTTCTCTCTCTTTCGGCGGAATACAGAAGGGTTACGGGGAAAAGGTGAAGAGCCAATCTGGGAAAGCGAACGGAATTTCCCCTTTTTAAAATTTTCTTTTAATTTTCATTTTTTGTTATTTTATCCTTTTAATTTCCACGTCAGATGCCACATCAGCGCTTATTAGACTTTCTGTTTAAAACTAACGGTCAACGCCAGTCAACCATAACGGAAAAATAGTTTGGGACACAATTGTCATATCGAATACTTTAGGATACAAATGACACAAAGTTAATAGTTCGGGTTTCCTAGTGGTATTAGCCCTTTTGTATATCATGATACATATGATTTATTTTGTTAGCTAATCTCATATTATACTTTGTTGGTATATATATTATTTAGTTAATAAATTTTAACTACTCCAAATCATGTTATTTCATAGTATCGAAGCAATCTATGATACATAATTTCTTTTTCAAAGTAGAAAATAAGATATATTTGCTCACATACTCAACGTGTTAAACTTTATATATGGTGAGATATATAATTTAACAACCATATGAATTAAAATCATCAGATATAGATTGATTCGTCCATAAGTTGGTTAATCGAGTTGGCTCTCTAGCCACATGTTAAGACATATCATGAGCTCTAAACGAGCCAGCTCACGAATTTAGCTCAACAAGCCACCGAGTCGAGCTAGCTCGCGAGCTTCACGAGCTGAATAAAGGTGAGCTCGTGTTCGGCTCGTTTATTAACGAGTCGAATTTCGAACAAACTTTTCTAATTATCCGTTCAAATTTTCAATTTGCACTGGTCTTCTTGCTATATGGATTTATAACATAGTGAATTAATTATATATACTAGAAAAGCAGTCGTACTAGGCTGCGGATGGTAGGAGACGTGGTGGAATTTAATTTTGTATTTACATCATCAATATTAAATTTTCTCTTGATATTCAATTATTATTTATGGTTAGACAAAATAAAAATAAAAATGATGATTAGAATATATATAAAAAAAAGATAGTAGCAGTGGGCTTCCCATGCCCTCTTAATAGTCTTAGTTTCTTTAAATAATTAACTCAGTACTAATTAGTAATTAGTACTTAGTAGGAGTGTTCAACGGGTTGGTTCGTACTGGATCACACCATATCAAACCGATTGTTGGACAGGATCTCACCTAATCTAATATAATGTGGTTCGATCCTTGGCCCTATAAATTTCAAAATAATAATAAAAAAAGGAATTGAATTGACTTTTGTACCAGACCTAATCGGATGGAATGCATTGTTAATTTGGTCCTTAATCCTAATATACCTTTCACTATTGAATCGGGGTTGTCATGGATTTTGTCCAATCTGGACCCAACCATTCCACACTCCAACCAGCACTCAATTAGATTCGTATATTGGGCCAAAATTTTGATTCCGAAGTTGCTGATTTTGCCTTCCACCCATTCTTTTCTCTAATTCCAATTCTTCTTTCCAACTTCCAAAAACAATTAAATCTGCCTTCTCACCACTCTAATTCTTCTCTCCTACGGATTATTACCAATGGGCTTAAGCCCAATCGAATAGAAATTCTTAGTGAACATTAAAAATGATTTCACTTTACATATATTAATATATAGTGCTATGGTCTAACACTCTGTCTGTACTACTTAAAATTTGTAATAAATTGTTGAAATGAACTATTAGACTTTGTTATTTTCTTTTTTATATGTATTATGTATATGTTGAATTAAAAAAAGGCATTATTGATGTTTAAAATTTGTTAGTATATTTAATAAATGTTTAAAGACAATAATAAATAAATGATTTACTAAATTATTTAAGGTAATTTTTAATTTATTAACTCTTTGAATATATAATTATTCCCGCACTAGCTCTCTCTCCGTTCCACGAGCGGTAACTTAAAGTAATCTGACCAACGGGTCGGGTCAAAAGGTAGTAATATAATATAATATATTAGTTCATGCCATGATAGTGTACGCTTGGCATACGTTAACCTTACGGTATGACAATCGTTTTTATTTTTATAGACCATGAATTAGCCGGACATTAAGAGATGATATTATACCCTAATCTCAAATGAGTGAAACTCAGTATCTAATTCTCTAACTCAAATCATAAGTTATATTTAATCTAAAAATAATAGCCGACTGTTCCGGGTTCATCGAAATATATCGAAGTACATTTAATAAGTGTTTTCTAATATAACCAGACCCGTTTGAATGTCCGGTTTTTGGCTTGACCAAGAAAACCGTGACTGTTTTCTCAGCCGGCCCTAGCTCGTTGGACATGATTGCTTCAATTTGTCGAGACAGATTGAAGCACGTTGAGACATTGAATGATTTTTCTTTCCACAGCAAATTCCCCCACTTCAGTGTTTATCTTTCTCTGCCGGCTGATTTATATAGTTGGAGGCAACCGGAATCTAATCAATCTACAGAGAATACCAAATTCGCCCATTGGCTTCAACCACCTATCTCAAAGGCTTGCTTTTGTGCCCACAAATCAAATCCACATTCAATTGGAACGAAACACTCTGTAATCCTTACTGCTCCAATTCAGATTCAATTTAGTAAACTAAATTACCGGCGGCGCGGCGGAGCTTCGAATGGCGACACTCGCCCCTGCTGCTGCTACTACTACTTCTTCTTCTCTGCTCCACCACGCCCACCACTCCGGCATTCGTCTACAGTGTCTAACGGCGCGGCTACCGGTTACTCCTTTCCGCCTAGAAAGGACGTCCTTTTCCCGCGCCAAATATAGCAATCGTACGAATCCCCCATTGGCGACGACTTCATTCAATGAGGTGGGTTTCTCTTCCTTGCCTTCTGCTTACAACCCTTGTGGGTTTTTTTGGTTTATCTCTTCGGGGATTCTGAGGTTTTGTATGCCGAATATGGTTTTACTGATTGCAGGTAATCGAGTCCTTGATCAATGGGGTTGATTTATCGGAATCTGAAGCCGAGGAGTCGCTGAATTTCTTGCTCGGTGATGCTAGTGAGGCTTTGATCAGTGCTTTCCTCGTCTTGATGAGAGCCAAAGGAGAGACCTTTGAGGAGATTGTAGGATTTGCTAGGGCCATGCTTAGCCACGCCCTGAAAGTTGAAGGGTTGGATGATGCAGTTGATATTGTTGGCACTGGTGGAGATGGAGCCAACACTGTCAACATCTCTACTGGTGCGTCCATACTCGCTGCTGCTTGTGGTGCAAAAGTTGCCAAGGTATGATAATCCGAAGATCTTTGTTGGACTCTTGTATGCTCTTTATGGTATTGATTGAACTCCTTTTCCTGGTATGTGTTCTACAGCAAGGGAATCGCTCTAGTTCATCTGCTTGCGGGAGTGCTGATGTATTAGAAGCATTGGGGGTGGCTATTGACTTGGACCCAGAGGTATGCAGTTTTTGCTTGAGTGTAAAAATCATCTTTCTATTCACGTTGCATACTCGAGTTAGATGACTTTCTTTTGGTATGCTACGTTATAAGATGATGTGTTGAGAAGTAATGCCGTTTCTGTTTTATGAGTTCATCTACAAAGTGATCGTTGAATTCTTGTTGAGGTAAGTGGTTCCTAGTTATCCCTGTCAAGACTCAAGGGACTGTTGATAATCTTCTGTTGTTAGCTATTGTTAATTGAACTCTTGGGTTACCGAAGGTCATTTTATTTTTATAATTCTCCTCCATGGCCTCCTTGCTTCCTTGGTCAATGATGGATATTTGAGCATAGCTGTTGTTGAAATGCCTGGAATTATGTTCCTGAACTACAAATCTGGGTTTAAGGGGTCAGTTTTAGAAGGATGAAGAGCTCCACTGAGTTCCTGATAGTGGGAACTAGCTACCCCATATAACAAATATATTTCGCTCGTCTTCGTGGTTGCTTTTTGTTTCTTAAGCCAGGAAAAGTTTAGCTACTAAACAGACATCAATCGTCTATCAGTTATTAATTTTGTTATCAGTGGTTTCTTTTTCTGAAATCAGGGAGTATCGAGATGTGTGAAAGAAGCGGGAATAGGGTTTATGATGGCCCCCAGGTACCACCCTGCCATGAAAGTTGTGAGTCCTGTGAGGAAAAAGCTTAAAGTGAAGACGATATTCAACATTTTAGGGCCAATGTTGAATCCTGCACGGGTACCTTATGCTGTTGTTGGTGTGTTCAGGGAAGAACTGGTAAATCTCGTTCTCATACACTTAAGATATTCCTTAGTAATTCCAACCGATAAATACAATTTCTTTCTTGAAAAACACTGCACTTTTGTGGTTGTAGGTTCAGAAAATGGCAGGAGCTCTGCAACGGTTTGGAATGAAGAGAGCATTAGTAGTCCATTCAGAAGGCCTCGACGAAATAAGCCCCCTCGGTAAACCCCACACCACATAATCCCTTTTCTCGTCACCTGATCATCTGTGCAATCTCTAGCCATAAAGAGTTCATGTTCAATATTAATTCGAAGACCACCATATATCTGAAATGCAGGCCCTGGTACAGTCCTTGATGTAACTCCACATGGCGTGGAGAAATTCTCGTTCGACCCGCTCGAGTTCGGGATTCCTCGTTGCAGTTTGGATGATTTGCGAGGCGGAGGCCCAGACTACAACGCAGATGTACTGAAGCGTGTCCTATCAGGAGAAAAAGGAGCCATTGCAGATGCCCTGGTGAGTCCACTTCAGGCCGCCTTCATGACTTAATCCTCGATCTCTATAGCCCATCAACTGTACATTAAGTTTCTCTTCAGCTGAGTGGAGCTGCTGCTGTGGTTTTGTTTCAGATATTAAATGCAGCAGCGTCTCTACTAGTGAGTGGCAACGTGACAACTCTGGGCGAAGGAGTGGCCTTGGCTAGAGAAACACACTCATCCGGCAGAGCTATCCAAACGCTTGATAAATGGATCCAAGTTTCTAATGCATAAGCATGGCGCGCTTGGAAGATCGGTTCTTTCTGCAGTGACATGGTGGAACAGAAGGTGAAAGAGTTGAGAAGCTTGTGGAATAGTTTATGAGCTAGTAAAATGCGCAAGCAGTCGGCTGTTTTCTCTTTTATTTGAGTTAGGATTTGCAGTTTAAACCTTCAGGAATCTGTCAAAGAAACAGTGTTGGGCGCATCTTTTTGTACTATTTCCTACCTGTTTGGTTGAATAAAGCTTCCATTTGTCAGCAGAAGCCATAAAAGTTACTACAAGCAAACAAGCACATCGAAATCAATTGCCATACACGCATAATGCAACACCACCAGCTTAAAACAAAAACCCAAAATACAGTACAGCTTTTAGGTCCGATACAGAAAAACTACAACGCTTAACATACGGGTGCCACTTGGCAAGCACGGAACAAACAGAGTTTCTCCTGCTGCAGTTTCGATCCATTGTCGCAATCAAAGTTGAGTAGAGTTGTTGCTTATGGCGCCGACTTCGTTGAGAAGAGGCAGCAGCTCCCCATTTTCGTGCTTTGCCAAGGTAGCTGGGATGATAAATAACAATGGTATTAACAAAAAAACGGCAGTAAGTTATAGCAATAGATCAATGGAGAAGAAGAATCAATTTGCTTATTACCGTCGCAGCCACCAATATGCTTTCCTCCGATGAACACATTAGGCACAGTCCTCTGTCCAGTCCATTTCAATAAGGCTCCCTGAATCTCATCTCCATCGCCTTCAATCAAACACACAGAAATCAAAATCAATCAATTTTCCATCCCCAATATCAATTTCACCAAAAACTAAAAACTCAAATTCTTACTTTCTTTGTCCAATTCGATGACTTTGAAAGCAGCTCCGAGCTGGGTCAGCAGCTTCTTCACCCTCGTGCAGTATCCGCAGTAAGTTTTGCTGAAACCAGATAAGGAAAAAAGGAAGCAATCCAAACTCAGCCACGTGATTTGAAAAAGTAAAAACGGAATTGGGTTTTTCGATTTCTCGAGCAAAGTTTTGGAATTTAGAGGGAGAACCTGAATACAACGACAGGGGCAGAGGTAGCGATCTCCTTGGCTTTGGTAAGGGCGGCTTCCATTTCTTGGTCAGTCTTCTTGCTTGAGCTCAACATCGATCCCATCTCGCCGCTTACGAATTCCCGCTGTCTGAATATATACAGGAACCGCTTAATTTTTTCGTGGGGAGAGAGCAGAGAGCGAAATTCGGGGAGAGAACCAGGTGTCGGAAGCAGGGGAAATGGTGCAGCAGGGGGATGAAGCTTTGGTGGCGACGATGGGGAGATCACAGGTGGCTCGTTAAATAAGGTTAGCTTACAATTTACAAATCCGGCTATCAACTCACAAAAATATAAAAAAAAATTGACTTTATCTGGACGAGATCGGCCGATCAAAATACAAAAAATGAAACTTCTCGTGGGCAGATGGGCTGGACCGAGATGCAAGCCCGCATCACAACTTGGCCCATTCGTTGCTTTCTTGTTTCGAAAATTATTGATTAATAGCATTTCATACTCTTTTACTATGGTAAATTAACCTAGGTATCATTTTAGTTTTTTTTTTCATAAACATATTTTTCTAGTGTTAAAACGTACCAACTATACTCTTTTATCTAATTTTTTTGTTAAATGGTCGTTTAGGGGCTATAATATGAATCTATTGCCTTCATTAACTCCTAAGAACTCCTAATTTCGATTTTAAAAATTAAACTGCTACCAACCCATCTAATGCAACAAAACCTTAATTCTTCCTCTATACTCCACTGAATACCATGTTTCGCACCAGAAAAGTTTGGTCTTCAACTCCGGCAAAACTGGATAATTTTCTTGTCTTGTTTAATTGCATATGTATGTTTTTTTTTCATATAATTTTCATTATTTATTTCAAATATTTCTGCCGAATTTAAAGTTAACTTTTTCTTGAATGCGATGAATCTAAAGTTTTTTTAAAAAATCATGAAAATTATTCTCATTGAGATTTAATAATGAAAAGTATGCATTGATCCAATCGAGTGTGTGCGATGATTATTAAGCGCTCTATTTGACAAATAATTTAGGGGCTCTTTACTCAGACATATGTGGGTTTCATTGTAGTAATAATATAGTATTTTGCCAAACATGAAAAGATCTAAGATAAGTAACCTATTAGGGTAATTTAATCCAGAGAGTGTAAAGGCAAAATGTACAAGCGTATCATATTTTGGAGGTGTCGTATTTCGCATTAAAATTAAGTGACTAAAGTTATAGTTGTCAAAAGACACACTCAACACTTTGTTTAATTTATCTTCCTACATGAAGTTTCATGTGAGTACTAATACTCACAAAAGAAGAGGAGGGAAAGATACAAGATAAGATTGTGCTCGTTCACTTAACCTCAAAATTCTGAGTAAGGAATAAGTAGAGACCTAAGGATGTTATAGTTTCGTGGAACTCTTAAGGATATGGTGATGAGTATTTCTAGTTACTAAACTCCATTTAGATAAAAATATATACGGGTTACAACTTACATCCTTAAATTGAGTATCCAGAAAAGCTTATAAGGCAGTAAAAAGCTTATAAGGCACAAGAATGTATAGTGGACAGAAAGATACAATTAAATTATATTTTTTTGGTTACGCAAAAGTACTCTCGATGCTACAAGTTTTATAATCCTACATTAAGAAACGGTTATGAAATGATAAATGTGAGATTTTCTTTAGTATATTGAGTTTTGGGGGGGGGGGAGGAAACATAACGAATGTTTTTAATGCACAAACTCAACACATTCAAGAAATGTCATTAAAGATATCCACAAAGAAGAAGATGTGTGACTCCAGTTAACAATATCATTTTCTTCAAAGAACATAAGCATGACATCAAGTTGACTAATGATCGGGTTTATATTAGTCAAGTCATGAGCAGTTCTGACAAGTGGATTGATGCCATGTGATAAAGTCTATGAAAGATAATGACGTTTGTGATTATCTCGTCAAATTGCCTAAAATCTCGAAACCTATTGGTTGCGAATGAAAATTTAAAACTAAGAAGGATTCGAATGGTAATATTGAGAAACATAAGATGCATTGTTCACTAAAGACTTTACTCATACGGAAGGCTTTGACTACAAAGAGACTTTCTGTCCAGTATATTTGAAAGTATCTTTTAGGAATCTAATAACAATGATGACTCATCATGACTTCTCATTATTGGTATCACAAATTTCATCTCGGTATTAGCTCATTCAGGTTTAGAGACTAATGTTGGAGATGATTATGTAAATCTAAAATTTAGTGGGAGTTAATTTAGTTTCTTGGTTTTTACATGTCAATGACATTCTACTTTATAGTAGTGATATATATGCTTAATGCATGAGATTGAGATATTTCTGAAAAGAAATCTGAGATACGGGTTCTTGATCTTGCCTCTTTTTGTATTGGGTATTGAGGTACTAAGAGATGAATTCTCAATGTATACTCAATTTTAAAAGAGATATATCAATAAGGTGTAAGTAGATAAGTTAGTAAACCCGGAGATGCATTGTCGCTAAAGGAGATGGGTTTGGTCTCAATCAGTGCCACAATTATGGTATAAGAAAATAGAGGTGCAAAATATCCTTTATGACTTTATGCATATTAACATTAAGGAATCTAAGGAATGGTTGAGGTTATTTGCATCCCGATACAGCATTAGTTAGAGTATTTGATAGATAGTTGAGTATATATGCATGTGTTAGAAACAAAGTTTCTAACTGGTCTCTATTTCAGATCTAGAGATTGAGAATTTAGGGTTTATAGAACAGAATTGGAGATTTAGGGATTTGAAGAGAATTTGGGGAAGAACAGAAGAGAATCGGCCTAAGCCTTTGAGGGATTGAGGTCAAGAATTGAGAGGATTGGGATAGGAATTTAGGGAGATAATTCTTTATTAACTTCTGCTTAATCTGATGAAAGACCCAAAGTACATATATATAGGGAAATACTAGAAAATCCTAAGAATAAACCTAATTCTACTAAAAGACTACTAACCATATTTAATAAAACCTAAAAATAATGATAATATAGAAACTCGTTTTCCTTAGAAAACGTGTTTCTAACATCTCATCCCCCTTGAGACCAACCTTGCCCTCAAGGTTGATCAGCTTGACCCATTTCTTCAAGTCTACCGTGCAATCCACGTCTTGCCTCCACCATTCTTGCTCTTTCTTTTCTTCCAATCGTGCTCCACTACTCGAACGTATCTCACGTCAGCAACTCCGACTCCAATGACTTCTTCCTTATCCATGTGGCTAGCGTTGTAGCCATAGCCTAATGACTGCCCACCATCTTCCTTCTCCGGTTCCTCCAAGAATGCGACAGTGGTGGTGGTGACAAATGCCATTGCAGTCCCGGCAGCGGAGTGCAGAGAAACCGTCGGCGATCTTAGCTCCGGCGACAAAAATCTTGACCGACGGCACGGTAGATCACCCTCCTCGCCGACCGATTCCTTTGCCTCGTCATTCCACGGGGGCTTCTCCATCGTGGCCTTCCTTTCCAGTGTCGAGCAGAGGGTTTCACCATCCGTCGTCATGTCGGCTAGCAGCCGTGCCGCCTCCTCGCCTTTGTCCACATGTGCTGCTTCTGTTTGCTGCCCGGGCATCGATGTCGCAGCTCTTCCCGGCATCACTGTGCCTCCCGACAGAGCTGCCGCTGTTCCGCTCGGCTGAAACGCTATCGCAACCTCGCGCCCTCTTTTGCAAACTCGCACTGCTCCACCACCGTCTTTGATTTGCGCGGTCGGCCACTCTTCGGATAGCCAACGACGTCCGATGCGGCGAGCCCGGTCACGCAGCTCTGCCCATGACAGGGTTTCTAGGGTCACCGTCTCTACTTGCACGGTCGGCGACTCTTCGGAGCGCCAACGGCGTCTGATGCGGCGAGCCCGGTCATGCAGCTCTGCCCACGACAGGTTCGAGAGCTTCGAAGATCTCATCGTCGAACCAGTTGTAGAACTCGTTCCCGGTTGAGAGTTGTGGTGAACTCAATTCTCGAACCGGGCTCTGATACCAAATGTTAGAAACAAAGTTTCTAAATGGTCTCTATTTCAGATCTAGAGATTGAGAATTTAGGGTTTATAGAACAGAATTGGGGATTTAGGGATTTGAAGAGAATTTGGGGAAGAACAGAAGAGAATCGGCCTAAGCCTTTGAGGGATTGAGGTCAAGAATTGAGAGGATTGGGATAGGAATTTAGGGAGATAATTCTTTATTAACTTCTGTTTAATCTGATGAAAGACCCAAAGTACATATATATAGGGAAATACTAGAAAACCCTAAGAATAAACCTAATTATACTAAAAGACTACTAACCATATTTAATAAAACCTAATAATAATGATAATATAGAAACTCGTTTTCCTTAGAAAACGTGTTTCTAACAGCATGGAACACTAGAAAGAATCAAACGTTTAACGCGTTTACTAAAGATGATAAAAAAATCATGCTAAATTATTAGAGATAAGCTAATTTATAGATCATTAAGTACTCTGACTCTGATGTTGGAGGATGTCAAGGCAGTAAGAACTCTATATCAGCTTACGTTTCAATGTGGGGTAGAGAATTTATAGCATATATTGAGACTTTCAATTATGATTGCAAAGTTTTTGTCACTAGCATGACACTGGTAAGGTTAACAGTGAATAATTTGATAGTGACACATTATCATTGATTCATTGCCACAGGAGTTCAGAAGTCAAAGTTATTGAGATTAAGTTCCTCGAGGTTAAAAAGAAGATTCAACATAGAGAAGTTTCTATTAAACATTAAGAGCATGACTAATGTTAGCTTACCCATTATCCAAAGGTTTGACACCTAAAGTTTTTCTTATGAGCACATCTGCTTGCATGAGTGTCATTCCAGATGGTACCTTGGTTTAGTGGGAGTCATTTATAAATGTTAATAGATTATGACCAAATCAATTTTTGCAGAATAAAGTGATGGTTCCTATAGTCTATTTTAGACTTTAAAGTGCCTTCACTTATACAATGGTCACATTGTATTAAATAATTTTAGTTGATCTCACTAAGTACTTAAGTGGTTTAGTTGAAAATAGGCGTGTTCAAGATCACATTGCATGTAATTTTCATGTCACTCATCCATATTTGATCTATTTCATTGAGTGTATTGGTATGGTGATCATGGTGGTTTAATCATTATCATATTGTTATTAAAGCCGCATTGGTTCCATGGTTGATACATGAGGTGGACCAGATTGTTAATAAGTATTCATTGCATAAATATAAATAGCATACGGTTGCGCCTAAAGTAATTTGTAATATAATTGTTTTAAGAAAATATGCAGTCAAGTGGGAGATTGTTAGATAACTGTTATTTTCTAGGGCTAATACCATTGGGAAACCCGAACTATTAACTTTGTGTCATTTGTGTCCTAAAGTATTCGATATGACAATTGTGTCCTAAACTATTTCTCCGTTAGAGTTGACCGGCGTTGACCGTTAGTTTTTAACAGAAAATCCAGTAAGCGCTGATGTGGCATCTGAAGTGGAATTTATAATATTAATTTATAATTATTTTTCATATAAACAAAGAAAATTACAAAATTACAAAAATAAAAAATAAAAATGAAAACCCATCTCGGCTCTATCCGCCTTCATCCTCCTCTTCCTCGCCGCTTTCGCTCTCCTCTCCTCCCCGCCGCCTCTCATCGAACGCCGCCACCTCCTCCAGCTCCCTCGCCGCCATCCCCCCTTCTCCTCGCCATTCGTAATCATCGCCATCTAGGATTTGAGAAAAAACAGAGGCTGCTCCCAGATTGGATTCGTCGTCGCCAACATCGCCGACATCGCCCAATCACAAGCCCCCTTCCCCTCCTCCAATCCACCACCAGAAGCTTCGTGGTTTACGCCGATGGTGACGCGCGGCGACGATTTCGCCGAATCCGATTGATGGCTGGCCATTGGGTTCCTTGAAATCGAAAGCAGGTGTGTTGGGGGAGTGGTGTTGGCTGGTGATGGTGTCGGCAGGGTGGGTGGGATGAAGCGCGTCCCTCACCTGCTACCGACTCATACCTTCCCTGTTGGGGATCGATTCGATCAAACGAAGGAAAATGGAAATCAGAGATGAGATCGATCGATTTCTCTCAGCAGCTTCTCCCAAGCAATCCACGTGCAATAGCCGAGACGAGTCGATGGAATCTGTGACATCGCGATCGTGAAATCAAGGAAAGAGGGACAGAGACGAGAAAATGAAGGAAAGAGAAGCTAGGAGTCCACCTCGAGGAAGAAAGACGATGTCGTAGGTGGCGGCGACGGCGACGGCGTAGAAGGAGGCGGAAGCAGTGGCGGGGATGGAGAGAAGGAAGGGAGAGGTAATCGGGGGAGGGGAGGTGAATCTGCAGAGGGAGGGTTAATTGAGTACATTTCTTTAATTTTTTTTTTGGTTAACATTTTTTTAATTTATAACAATATATTATTTTTATTTAATATTTAATTTTTAATTAAAAATATGAGGTGTCATTGACGTGGCATCTACGTGGCTGCCACGTCAACAAAAGTCAATGTTAATGTTGACTTCCGTTTGGTCAACCGATATCTATAACGGTCAACGAAACTGTCAGGATACAAATGACACAAAACTACCAAACGTTGGGACACAATTGTCATATCAAATACTTTAGGACACAAATGGCACAAAGTTAATAGTTCGGGTTTTCCAGTGGTATTAGCCCTATTTTCTAATGTAATGAGCCACATATTGTAGACAATTGTATTTGCTATCTGTTTAAGTGGGTTAGTTGTAAGTGATCAAATTGAGGAGCCCAAGAGTACTCGAAATCAATATGGGGCTAAATGGATGGAAACCCAATACTTGCTCACGTTGGGTTTTATGCAAGTCCATGCATGTTGACTAGTATATAAAGGAGTTTGAGGTTGTGGTCCCCAACACACCAAGACAAAACACATTTTCATCTTCTTTCCATCACGAAGATAAGAGTTCTCCCGTAGAGAAACTGAAGAGGCTTGGTTGACGAAGGTTGCAGTACCTCCCAGGTCTTACTGTAGCCAGTATCGTGCGGTAATAGATCATCCTACGATTTCCACATCAAGATGAAGATGATCTACAACATGAATCCATACATTCCTATTAACCTTTGATAATCTGCCAAGACGTATTCCGGAGAATTATATATATCTTAGGTTGATTCTTTTAACGATCATTTTACTAATTCTTCACCGTATTTTATGGTATGTGCCAATTGTTGTTGTCAGTGCTAACAGAAACAAGTGTGTACTCTACATAGTTTTCAGTTCGATGGATGATAAGGAAAGAAAAAGGACTTGAAATTGGATTTTTTTACTAGACACGATTCATTCATTCATAGTAATTAATGACCTCAAAATTTGAGGTTCTCAACAGTACATGCAACTAGGGTGGGCAATGGTTTGGTCCATACCGGACCACACCGGACCGAATCGATATTTGGATCGGATCACATCGAACCGAATATTATATGGTCCGATTCTTGATCCTATGAATTTCATAAATACTGAAGAAAAATGGATCGAATTTACATATGGATCGGACCAAATGGACTAAAGCGGACCAAATGTACTATTGGTCCGGTCCTTGATCCTAAGATATCTTTCACTATTGGATCGTAGTTCTCGTGAGTTTGGTCCGATCCGGTCCGGACCAGACGGATGCCCACCCCTACATGCAACCCAATGAAACTTACGAAAGAAATAAGGAGACGATGAACTTAAGTTGATATATCTCTTCCCAAATTTTATGGGCATGAAAGCAATGAAGCAAATAATTAATCTTTGTCACTACCGTGTTAAAAGTAGATCTTACATAATTTTCTTTCCAATGTTGCGATTCATTTCAGGTCAACAGCGACGACTTACGATTTACGAATCACCACGTTTGGGTTGATTACCGGTCCGACCGGGAACACCAACCGGTCGAAGGACTCGACCGAGCAGGGAATGGACAGGGGACCCACTATCTTGGGCGAATCCAGCAGCAGGGGCACGTCGTCGCCATCCTCCGACGTCCGCCGCCGCCGCCTCGTCAACAACTCCTGCACCGACGGCTTGGCCAGGCTCTTCACCGGAACTTCGTATCTTCGCGCCTCCTCCCCGACGTACATCCCGATGTACCCTCTCCTCCTCCGCGGCGGCGGCCGCCGCCGCAGCTTCACCCCGCACCACTTCCGCAGCAGGGAAATCACCACTTCCTTCATCAACATGTCGGCGAAAAATAATGTTGATTTCCACCTGCATTTGGGGGTGCTTTGTTCTGGCTGTTTAAGTTTCATATGTAAATTAATTAAGGACAAACTTTTATTCCGTTGGTGACCAGACTTTTAGGACTAGTATTATCCTGGTTCTTGGCCACTTTCCTCTTTAACGTTTGTGACCTCTGAATCTTATAAGCTTCCTATTCTTAAATTACTTTGTTTGTTTTATTCTCGACTTTTATTTCTCTGTTACTTTTATTTCATTATCTCTCTATAACTGTTAACACCTAAAATTAATTTGTCCTGAATTAAATGCCGCATTAATTAGTATCGGCATTTAATTCGATACCGCGGGTAAAAAACGGTGTCGTTTGGAGTTGAGCGGTGTCGCGGAGAGTTAAAACGATACCGCGAAACGGAAAAGCGGTACCGCAAGGAAGCTCAGCGGTACCGCGACACCGCCGGAAAATAAGATGGGGCCGCGCGTTTTGTTATTGGTGTTGGAGAAGAAGTTTTTTTTCTCTAATTAATTATTATCTTTATTCCTTATCGGAAAGGGAAAAAACGATACCGCGTGGAGTCGAGCGGTACCGCGGTACTGGAAACGGTACCGAAAATAAAAAAAGGGGCGCGCGGTTAGTTGAGTATTGGAGAAGGAGTTTGTTTTAATTAATTAATATTTTTAATCCTTGTTGGAGGAGGAAAATCGGTACCGCGAGTAGACCCAACGGTACCGCGGAATAGCAAACGACAGTGTTTAATAAAAAACAATGTCGCAAAAGGAAAAAACAAACGGAGCCGTTTTGGCTCTAACGATGTTGTTAGTGATGGTCAGTTAATTGATATTTTAATGACTTTTTAGCACGGTGTCGTTTAGTTGGAAACGATGCCGCAAAGGAAAGAAACGATACCGTGAGCAGGCCAAACGATGCCGCAACCGTTAAAACGACATTGTTTAAGATTAGAACAGTGTCGCGAAGCTCAGAAATTCAACGACATCGCGGGACAAGGAAACGACGTTGCTTAACTGAGAACGACGCCGGGGTGAGAGTTTGACGGCGAGTTAACAATGAGGGCTGGTTTGGTTAATTACTACGTTATTATTGTTTTAGACGGTATCGTTTAATACGATGCCGCGGAGAAGTAAAACGACACCGTTTAAGGCATCAACAACGCCGCAGTATTACTAAGCGATACCGTTTAGTTAGAAACCATACCACAACGGGTTGGATTTTGGGCAAGGCCCGACAAGCCAAACGGCACCGCAAGACGAGAAAACAGTGCCGCTGGGTAGATAACAATGACGCGAGGGATATCAACAGCACCGCGACACTAAGTAAACAACGGTGGTCAGTTAAAAACAGTGTTGCAAGAATATACCAGTGCCGCTAAGTGAACAAACGACGTTGTTTAGCTCCAAACAACGTTGCGAATCCCGCATCGAGGAGTTGGGTCCAATGCTCAGAGACTCAAGAACACCACAGAATCAAGATTATTCATGCCGCAAGACCGCAAGCTCAACGGGATCGGGAATCAAATGTTGCTGCAAGTGCGGCCTGGTAAGTAACAACATTGCTTGCTCTAACCTAGATTGATTAAGGTCAGGCCGTGTTTGAACATGGTTGATCACGGAGCTAGTCGTTTGTGAAGCAAAGCAGTGAGTTCAATGATGTCAAGAAGCGGCATTGTTTCAATTCGATGACAAGCAGGCTAGTGATCAAGCATTGTTGAAGTCCTAGCTAAATAATGTCGTGAGTCGGACAAGGGAGCAACATCACTTGTGTCGTTATGTATTTGACAATGCCGCAAATCCAACGTTTCTGCTTGGACGAGAAACGACGTTGTTTAGTGGAGAACAACGTTGCTAGGGTTGAGATCGCTGGGAAATTTATTCCCCACAACGACGACGTTGTCGAGACAAGAGACTCTCATGCTCAGATTTTAGAAGTGAAGCGGTGTTGTTTATGATACGCCGCCGTATTATGAACAAGGATGAATGTAGTTTGGCTTGAGGAGTTGGGGGTGGATTATCGAACCCGGGTGGATAATTACAAGGGTGGCTCGATGTCGTTTTGTCGAGTTGCTGCTCAGCAAAACGGTTTCGCACTCGTGGGAGTTACGCAACAAGGAGGAAGTTACCTGCACGGTTGTCAGGAGTGAAGACGTGGGCGACAAAGGCGCGAAGGCAGTTACGGCGACGAGAAGAAGCGCGAAGTATATAGATTGGGAAGAGAGAGAAGTTCGAGACGGCAAAATCAAATCACAACTGCACCATTGCAGAATTATCCTTTTTCTCTCTAGTTTCGTAGAACCGCTCTGTCAAAGAACTCCTTTGCAGAGTCGTAGATCGTAGCTTGTAGTCGTAGTCGCGGAGCTCTCCAGAGGAACCTCCATAGGAGTAGAGGTAACGTAACTTAGAACACTCCTGGTTCGATTTTCTGTTTATTCGAACACCCTCGTTCGAACGTAGTTTGGAGAGGTGGTGAACCGAGTAACGGTTGTTTGATTAGAGGTCAAAAGTGCATCGATCAAATCAACGACGCCGATACCGGCGGCGGCTATTTGACGATCGTTTTTTGTTTCTGCTTTAATCGATCAAATCAACGGCGCCGACATTCGGCGGCGGATATTTGACGGTTGTGATTGACGTGTGTTTTTGTGTTTTTCTTGAAAACCGTGCGCAGTTAACACACGAGTTTCGCCAACGAAACAAATTGGCACACCCGGTGGGACACGTGTGTTCGAATGGCTCCGCGACGCAGGAATCCGGAAGGGGATGTCCCGCCCGGAATCGTGGAGGAACATGTGGCCAACATTGAAGGAGGCCAAGGAATCGGTGCTGAAGACATCGGCGGGTCCGAGAATCCGCCGTCCACAGCTGGGCCGACTGGGGATCTGTCAATCCGCCATTTCATGGAGGAGAATCGTCGCATGTTTGCTAGCCTCAACAATGAGTTCGCAGGCTTCAAAGGCGAGGTAAATCAACGTTTTGACGCTTTAACTACACGACATGATTCTCTTGAGTCTCGTGTTGATAGGCGTTTAGGCCAACTCTTTGAAGTTGTGACTAAAAACAGACATGATTTTGATGTTTTCGGGGATAAAAATCTACGTGATATGAATGAAATCAGGGAGCTCTTGGGTAGACCAGTAACGCAACCTAGGGATTTGCCGCTAAACGGTGAAAACAATTTAAACAGCGAAACTGGTTTTCCAAACAACAGTGCTCGAATTAGTCCGCCAAGACAAGGAGCTTCGCCGACACCGGTGATGAACCCACCAACTCCGCGAGTTAATCTTGGCGAGACTAGCACTGCCGCTCACACTCGGGTTGAACCACCGCCGTTTCACGGTGTGGGTCCACAAAATATTCCGGAGGCCAGACCTTACGTGGCTCCGATGAGCGGTGCTGGTGGTGGAGGAACGATCAACAATGATCATGTTCCGCCACGCGGCTACCCACAAAACGTGCCTCCGCCTCCAAACGGGCTTGGCATGGATCCTGGTGGATTCATACCACAAGGGGGGCAACTCGGGGGGCAAGACGTTAATGCGATTCGAGATCAAGTAGCACAGATGCTGGCGGATCAGTTTGGTTTAGGGATTAGACCAGCGATGCCGCCGGTGTATCGAAAACCATATCCGGATTGGGTTGATAGATACTACCCCTTTCCACGTGGTTTTCGCGTGCCTGATTTCATCACCTTCAGCGGGACTGGGGATCAGTCCACCGTCTAGCATGTTGGACGATTCACGGTTCAGTGTGGTGATGTGATTGATTTCTTGAAGTTGCGTTTGTTTGGCAACTCGTTGACCGGCCCTGCATTCGCATGGTACGTCAACTTGCCATCGAACTCGGTTCAAACTTGGCAGCAAATGGAACAAATGTTCCATGCCCAGTTCTACCGTTCTGAGCCAGAAGTAACAATGGCAGACTTGGCCAGAATGCGCCAACAGCCAGGAGAAACAGTGGAACACTTTTTAACAAACTTTAAAAATGCAAGAAATCGCTGTTTTGTGAACTTGACAGAACGCGAGTTTGTTAAACTGGCCCAGGGTGGATTGAATTTTGAACTTCGTAAAAAGTTTCAAGATAGGGAATTTTCTGATTTGTTTCAATTGATGTCCTGCGCCGTTAGATATGAATCTCTTCTCCGTGAAGAAGAACATAAGAGAAGTGGCTCTCGCGGACAATATTTCCCTAATTTTGAAAACTATGGTGTGAATAACGTCGGCAACAATGTTGACGAGGTTGAAGTTGATTTGGCCGAGATTGTGCAGGGGAAGCCATATGTGTGTGCTTCTCTAGCCAAGGCCGAGGGGGAACCACAAGGTGGAAAGCCCAATCGTGCCCCGATTCAAACTAGAAAATATTCCTTTGATATCTCAAAATCAGAACTGATTTTCGACCAGCTTTACAAAGATGGTCAAATTAAGTTGACTGGGGGGCATACTATCCCGCCAGCTGAAAAATTAAAAGGGAAACGATACTGTAAATGGCACAACAGTGCATCTCATTCAACTAACATGTGTGTTGTGTTTCGTAACGTTGTGCAGGATGCAATTGAGAAAGGTCGGTTCAAGTTCCCAGAGCCGAGGAAGGAGGCCATGATCGTTGACACAGACCCGTTCCCAAACGTTGTCGGCGTCAACATGGTCAATCCCGATTTCTCTAAGATCAACCTGCCACGCTTCAAGTTGGTGGTGGATACATCGCCGCCGCCGAGTGGTAGTTCTGATGTGGCCCAGGGAGCTTCATCCTCCCAAGTGCAGGAGGGGCCACGCTTGGACCCATTTGAGGAAGAGAAGTTGTGTGCCCAGTGTCGCGGGAAGCTAACCATTGGGGGAGCGGGACCGAGCCAGTCGGTCCACCAGAGATTGGGACCACGACAGTTCAAACCGAGGTATCC